CCCGCCCCCACTGCTCCCCACCTCCACCACTCCGGGCTGCCCCACTTCCCCCTCCCCTCTCTGCTGCCCTCTCTCTCTCCACCACTCTTCCACCCCTCCAGGTCTGGCCCCACTCCCCCTACTACTCCATGTCTGGCCCTGCTCCACCCCCTCTGCTTCACCCCCCTCTGACTGCTTGGGCTTGGGGGGGGCAGATGGAGACCCCCACAGTGCAGGAGGGAGTGGGCAGGTGGGGCAAATTATTCACCCCTGCCCACTCCTTCCTGTACTATGGGGATTGCCCCATGACCCAGCTGGGCGGAGTCGTGGGTCAGTAAAAGCCAGGTGGCTCCTGTGGGGGCATGGATGGGCCGCTTTCACTGCTGCATGCACCACAGAGGACCTGGGGGATGGGGGCACATTCCCCCCCCCATCTCCTTGGCACCTCACCCCTGGATAACCTGCTGGGCTCTGATTGCCCCATGCCTTGGCCTGGCCTTGGCTGGGGCCCCATTCACAGTAAATGGGGCCCTGACTGGGCCAGGCTGGGTTGTGGGACAATGTTGAGGAGGCAAGTGGGGGGCACATGGCCCCCTGGTTTGTGTATGGAGCAAGGGCAGGCTGCAACCTCTGCTCCCTGCCTTACTGCCACTGCTTTGACAGCAGCGTGGCACCATGTGCCTTGCTGCTCAGCCTGCCCGGTGGCAGCAAGGCAGGAAGCAGAGGCTACAACCCACCCTTGCCCTGTGCACAGACTGGGGAGCCACATGCCCCCCACCTTGACACCTCGATGCCGTGCCTCTGGAGGAGCTACTAGACTCTGATTGCCCCACAACCCAGCCCAGCCTGAGTGCAGCCTGCCCCTCTCCCCACCAGGAACAGTCTGCTGTAGCCCCAGCCCCACTACCCCCCTCCACAGTCCTTCCTCTGGCAGCAGCAGTGGTGGCAGGACAGCCGTCTGCCGCAACCCGTGTTCTCCTCCCTGTCTGCTTTTGTTTGCAGGGGGAGAAGGGTCATGGTGCCACAGCTCCCTCATCCCTGACCACCTCCGCCTCACCCCCTAAACCCCACACAAAGTTGTCTGTGGCCGCCCGAAGCAGCCAATCACCTCCCGCTCTCTCGAAGCAGCATGCGCATTTGGCTTGGAGCATTACAGACAGACAGATGGACTAAGGCTTTTATTATATTATTATTTATATTGAGCGGCCCCCTTAAAAGGATCTGACAGTGCCCTAGGGTAAGCCAGCTAAATAGCTAGCTAGATAGATAGCTAAACACCATATTTGTTTGCATACCACATGTACATTTTCCTCAGAATTAGCCTTTCAAAGTTTGGGATGCATGTTTTAATTGGGAAAGCTGATTTTCTGCCCAAACTAGCAGCAGTGGCATTTCTATTCAGGCACTGCTCAGGGAGTTAATTGACTTCATGCCTCATTTTAATCTACTTAATTCCTGCTAATTGCTATTTACTCAACAGGTATTAATGATCCACTCTCCTTTTTAATGATCTTGATGTTCCACTATCAAGCTATTCTTTCTTTGATAATTTTGTTGAAGAATTGGCCATTAAGCTACTCCTAGTCTTTCTTCTCCTATTTCACAGACAGACAGACTTGGATTTTTCAAACTGCAAGCTCTGCCCATGGAATCTGGTCTTCAGCAGAAGCTACAGTTTCAGTTTTTGATTGAACAACCAAGATTTGCTGCAAATTTAAGTTGCGAACTCTGAAAAAAAATTTCTTCATTCTTTCTTCCCAGATAGGTTTGTGTGGGTGTGCCATAAGCTAGAAAATACAGTTGTTTTTTTGAATGACAAATTCCATTCAAATGCCTGTATTTAGTAAACCCACACTTCCCGGTATCTAATTTCTGCCTGATCCAGTCTCTGCCAGATGTTAGCACCCCATTGTCTCTGAAAAATTGACTGATGGTATTGAATGTCCCTTTGTCTTTTTACAGGCTGCCCAGTTTCCAGGTTCTATGTACTCAGTTCCCTCTCTTGTTGAATTATGAGCTCAGATTGGCTTTAAGGTGGGCTAGAAGAGCATTTTCATAAAAGCAAAGCCTCAGAAGTTTGAGCAACTGCATTTTTCCCATTAGTGGTTGCAGATCTAGTAGCCTGCCTTTTCTTCCACACTGCTCATTGCAGATGGCCTCAATTCTGAAGCTGTGGTGTAATCCATTAGACAATATGGCAACCTTTATTTTGTCCAATACATTGTAGAATGTAGGGTTGTGCAAAACGGGTCCTATTCAATTCAGATTTGGATTCAGCCCAAATTCGGAGAATCAGCAATTCGGGCATAGACATAGCTTTAAATGTTTTTTCTACATACCTTGAGGTACCAGGTATGGCTCATGGATGCTGTAGTTCTTGTGCAGATGGCGAGTCCCACAGGAGTGTGGGGGGCCCGTGCTCATCAGAGGTACTTTTGGTCCACTTCCAGGTCTGCTGCTGAGCATGCTGGGTCCCCTCACCCCCCCCCCAATGCTCCTGTGGGATGTTCCATCCACCCCAGTATCTCAGCATTCACAAGCCACTGGATACCTACACATATGTAGAAAAAACATTTAAAGCTGTGTCTATTTCTGAATTGTCAAATCTTTCCAAATCTCTCTGAATTGATTCGGAGGGTTCCAATTCGATTTGGAGATATTAGAGGGTCTCCACATTCGATTTGGATTCAGAGATTCAGCCACTGGATCGGGCCAAATCTGTGCTGAATTGAATCAGTGAACGAAGCTTCAAACAGCCCTAGTAGAAAGGCCCCAAGTACAGCTCTGTGTGGGATGTCTTCTGAAATCACAAGCAGACAGGGTTAATGAAACTTACTGTTCCTCAGTCAACCAGAATCTTGAACAAGTGCTTAAGTTGTTGATTGGCTTTGTACTTCCCTCTACCCCATCATCTCTTCTCTCCCTCCAGCAGGCCAGTGATAAGGCAAGACCTGTTAGGAGGAATTATAGGACCTCATCATGTCCTATAATGTGACTTCCTTTCCCTTCATCGGCACATCTTCCTCATCTGTGGTCTGCTCAGGTCTCCTATCCAATAAGATAGTCAGAAAGCATTTGAAGTAAAGATCACTTAGGTTATAAATTAGGATAAGATCTTCTAACCATAGAAATAGTTCATCTCTACCCCTTATGGAGGTTTTCTAAAACAGGCTAAACTGAGAGAGAGCTAAGGGGAAGATGAAATGACTGCTAAAATACCTTCCAGCCCTAGATTTTTATGATGTATTTGAAAATTACTTCTTCACTTTAAAAATGTGTTTCTCCCCTTCTCATTTTCTGTTGAAAATGTGGCTGTAGCCCTTCTATTACAGCAAACTTTATACAATAGAAACCTTCTGTTAGGGTAGGCATTCGGGTGAACTGGGCTGTATGGATATGCAGTTGTGTTGGTTTCATTATACCAAACCTAGCATCGTATACATACCATGAGAGTTACAAAAAGGAAGCCTTCTGTAACTTTTTGAATAAGGATCATCAGAAATGTTTGTTATAAATAAGCATATTGGTCCATTGTAGATTAAAAGGTGGTTTTTATGTCTGTATTTTATTTATGCTTCTTTTGTATCTGTCACAAGCTCCTGATACTTGAATACCATAATCCAACTAAAAAATTCTTCTTCTTTTCTCTTCCATCTTGACCTTTTCTACACTTTCTTACCCCCAAAATCAAGAAAGATATTTATGTCTTTGCACAGACTCGCCACACTATAGAAATGAAATGCTGTACCTAACTATAGATTTCCTACCTCATAAACTGCACTGTGGATGCAACATTGAATAGTATTTTATATATTGGAGCATCTAGATTAGTGAAAAAAGCATGTGTAAATAATTTATTTTTAGAATACTCAAATTGGTTGACTAAACTGCTTCTGGTGCCTAATTTTATTGTATTAGTTGTACTTACAACTTCTTTTCTATTGTATGTTCTCTAGGTACAAATAAGGCAAGTTTCAGCAAATAGCTTAAAACTGCTTCATATCCTTCATTCCATAATAGCTCACTCATATTGGCTAGTAACTCTCAGTAATTGCCATGTATTGTATCAATTTTACTTCAGGGCCCAGTTAATATAAACCAGAATATTTGAAAGTGGTAACATCAACATTTTTTTCATTTTAAACTCATGTTGTTATTTAATAACTTCAGAATGTAGGAATATACAAAGTATAAAGTATTTAATTTATCTATTTATACTCTTGACATAAAGTGCTACCCAAAGAATATTTTCACAGAAACTTTTTAATGTGAAAAAGAAAAATACAGTAGTAATGAGTAAATCAGTCCTACTTAGACACTAGGCTTTGGACTAAACTGAGGGTTCTTATTTTAGATAAACCAAAAACAAAACTCACTCAAGCCAAGGAGCTATCAAATGGCTCTTTTTCCTCAGGACTCCCCTGTTCTATTGCTGGGGCCAAGTGTTCTTTGTGGTATTTAGCAGTAATTGCAGCATAGGCACAACCATAAACAGCAGCTGCCAACATCATTAGACACACAATTCCACAGACAACTCCAGTTATTACTACAGTGGCGATCGCATGACGCAAATTAACTGGCCTTGATTTCGGTTTAGGTTCACAGTCTGAATGGCTACTGTCTCCATGTTCATTGTGATGAGCATGCTTCAGTGAATTTCTGTGCTCAGAGGTATGGTGGTGAAAACTAGCCAGGGTAACATGAGCAGCTGTAGGAGGACATACCCCGTACATCTCATAAGGAACTTTAAGGAGGTCCTTTCCCTTCCGATTCTCAGGTGTGGAGCAGATAATGCCATCACTTATTCCTCCTGAAAATAACATATTAAGATCTTAAAATCCTGGGTTTTGTGAATTATCTACATGTTAAAACTAACAGGAGCCTAATGAAATGTATAAAGCTTTGTTTTTCTACTTTTAAAAATTTATAACCATATTTTATGAACTTTATGTTTCTAATTAATTATAGGGTAAGATTATGACACATTAATCGCTTAAATAAGAAGTTATTTGTAACCAGCAATTCATTAGGAGTAAAATTACTTGTATTTTATAAATGTTATAATAAAATTGCCAATCATATAAAATAGGATAAATTCATAAATGAAAACAAAGATATATTGTTACCAAGCAAATTCATACCATCACTTTGTTCTTATAAACATAAACGGAAACAATATACCTGTTGTAAAAATGTCCCATTAGAACTGACAGAAATATTCCATGAAGTAATTGTTCTGACATTGTGCTAATATTTGCCATGATGCAAACTGTGAAAACCAAATGGTCTATGTGCTTTGACTTTTATTAGTACCTTGCCTGTAAAAGTGTTGTTCCATTTATGCTATGTACAAAAACCAATTTATAAAGCAACATTAAAATTGAGTAAACATGAATGCAATAGTCAGAAAATTAAAGGAGTTAAGTTTATTTATACAGAATGTATTTGTCCACATGGTACATCATGGATATTTTGATACTCATTTATTCATTATCTGTAACTCATTTAGGGCTAGGTCTTGCCCTTGCCTAAATGGGTACTCTTGGTATGGGAGAAACAGAAAAGGAAGTGTCTTTACTTCTGCTTAAGCAGTAAAACATGATTATTCCCCACTCTTATCAATTTCTAGAATCTCTCAGCTTCCTGTCTTGCCCATATACATTGGCCCTTGGAGGCATGGACTCTTGGTTAGTAAGTTGTGCCTAAAATAGTGTGGGCTTTCATGTCAGCATAATTAAATTAATTGAATCAAATCAGCTCAGATTTCTTCTCTCCTTTCTTCTTTCCTCATCCCAAACAAGCCACCTTTTAGCTGAAGCCATGCATGGACATTTTTATCCTAAAATAATTTGTTTGAGAAAGGAATGAATACAGATGAGCCCAAACCAAGCCAAATTCCTGAGGCCACCTTCTCCATGAGTACTGATAATGTTCCAAGGTGGATTTGAATGTAACTGCTGCTTCCATGATCTGTAATTGGCCAAACCAAAAATGTAGGTCCAAACACTTCCAAACTTGGAAGTCTGAATGTAGCTATGGATGAAGATCCACATTTTGCAGCTATGGTCCCTATCGTTACGAGTGGCTGAAAAGGTTGTGTTGGAATGGAAAATTGGATTTCTGCCTTAAGTAAAGCATTCAATCTAATTTTTTTAGTACATCCAACAAGTATCAATTGCTTGAGTTGCATTCAGTTCAGAAATATTTAAATCCTTTTAGCGTTCTAATGAATGAAACATTTAAGATTTTTTTCTTTGAAATCAAACAATTTTCCATTACCAGCCGTATTCAGTTAGGGCACACAGCAGTATTCCCTAAGGCCAGAGCATGCCTTTGCCATAAATATGCAATCTGCTTCTGAGGAAGAATTGGAAGGATTAATGTGGAACATAACTCATTTTGTGTTATGTCAGAGCTATATAAAGAAATTTAAGTGTGATGGGGGATCTGTGGCATCTAGATTTCTTTCCAAACTGATTATTAAATGGGGGTTGCATAGTTCACTTCATTTGTAGTGATCAATACAAAGGTGGAAGTAGTAGAAGAAAATTACTGAATTGCCAAACAGTGGCTGTTTTTTCAGAGATAAAATTTTAAAAAGTTATGTTGCTGGCATGTTAATTAAGACAATCGGATATGCTGATCTTGGACCTTTACGTTCTTCTGCATGCAGAAGTTGGAACCCCTGCTGACATTTGTTATGGGGAATTAGTCCAGAAAAATCTAACAAAGGCTTGGGGATAAAATATTAAGATGTTACCTTAGGGAGCTGAATCCCTTCAAGATAATAACTTCTGCCAGTTAAATTACAAACTGTTCCATCAACACAGCCACAGGAAGATTTTGATAAGTTTTACTCTAGTTGCATGTGGCTACTGGCTTTAAGCACCTTGTTTAATTTTGCTGATATACTTCCTGAAACTAATGCCATCTTTTCACTATTATCTAGTTGCACTAGTAATCTTAAATAGATGGGACTTAATCAAATGTATATCTTTCCTCACAGCTCCAATGAACCAGAGACTGATTTCAGGCAGTATTTTCCCTGGCACACATGTTATTGGAAGATGCAGACATGTTTTATTTACCAGCTTTTCTCAAGCCATTTACACTGGTTTGGTTCCCAATATAATTTAGCATGGCCTCAAGACTGCTTTAATTTGTGCCCAGCTGCAATGACTGTATTTTACCTGGATACTGCCTTTTTGCTAGCTGTTTCCCAGTGTGGCCAGTACTGTTGGAGCATGCTATTTCCCACTGTGGCCAGTAACACTGGAGCATGCCAAGGAACTGGCTTAATGATTAGGTAGTTATCCTATGAAACAGGACCTCAGTATAAAAAGAGATATAACATAGAAGAAAAAGAAATACCATTGTTCTAGTGAAAGATGTTCTAAAATTAAACAATTTTAAAGGATGGGGACAAAATTGAGAATTTTTTTTCTCATTGGGTTCTGGTGCATATTTGAAACTTTCTAATGTAGCATTTGGAGGTTTCACTAGTCATTGATGCATTGGTTATCATCAGATTTTTTTTAAACTTGAGCAAGGAAGTATGAATGAAGAATAAACATGTCTAGTACAAAAGTATGAGGTTTTCCTTTATTCTTGTATAAACTCATTTAAATATTAGTTAATTAATTACTAGAATAAATTATAGCCCAGAGTGAAAGCTAATTGGCAAGTTCCACAGTAACTCTTTGTGCTTAGTGCTACTAGAAAATAGTGATGAATGCCGCAATTCTACTTAGACTGCCATTTACTATGCCTATCACAGGTTGTCTACTAGGACTTCATTACAGTCTGAACTTAGTCCTCTACTCTTTTTTTTCTCAAATGAGATATCATCTTCAAGACTGTTGCCCACTTAACTGTGAGGTTAAGGCAACTCAGTGGATTCTGAATAGCAGCTGTCTTGCAGCGAGCCACTCAACATATACTGTCTTGTTGCAGTGTGCCAGTGTATTAGCTCATATGCCAATAGGAAGCTTAGAAAATACTCATATTTGAACATCAAAGTTTATTTTAGGAAAAAAAGTGGATGTCTTGTTTCCTGGTTTCTCAAAACCTGCCTTGCTTCCATTAATATCTTTCTCTCCCTACACTCTGCCGACTCAGATAGAACAAATGAGCAAAGCAACATTTTAGGATGATAAACCCTTGTAGTCTGTAATCTAATCATTTTGGATTCTAAAACTGCCCATCATAAAACACTGCAAGACCATTCAAAAGTAAAAAGAAACAACTTCTGAATATCCCCCCCCCAAAAGAGTAAAGAAATTACTGATGAATTTGCAGCTAGCTAGAGAGAATTGAATGTTATTAGGTAGTTTAATATAAATATTCCCAAAGTACATTAATTTTCATATAGTAATTATATTATTAAGATGCAAATAAACTTTTCAGAAATACGTATTCTATTTTAAATATACCTGAAATTAGAATCTTTCACATGGGAAAGGATCATATAAATGGTTTAAAAATTGCTATATGCACATTTTCTGTGCAGCCAGATGTCACTTATAAAACATGTGTATGGGATGGTGATTTACAGAGTCTTTTCTGTGAGTATTTAATGCTGATGTACCTCAGAAAAACATACCTATTTGTAGCATATTGTCAGTACAGAAGCGCTACGTGCAATAATCACATGCCCCAATTCAGGTAAACATCCCTCTTCTAAAGACATGTGCATAAGTATGCTTGTGAGCAGGGATGGAATTAAATGTGTGCTTAAATACTTTCTTGCATTAAGGTCATAGCGATTCAGACAATTAAGGGGTATGCTAGACCTTCTGTTTGCCTGCATTCTTCCTAATGAAGAAAGTTACTTACCTCTGTATAAAAAGCTCTCCAGCCACAGTTTAAGGCCAAAGACATTGCAATTACATTGCCATGGGTTATCTTTGAAAAGAACAACTTTCAGGTTTGGAAGTGACTCCAGAAGAACTCTTTCCATTTTCTGAAGCTTGTTATGTTTCACAGACAATAACGTTATATTTCCGGTATTTTTCCCCAAAGTTTCAGGCAGACTTAATATCCTGTTGAAAGATAAATCCAGTTCTTTCAGCTGTGGGAGGGAACTGAAAGTCTTGTTTTCTACATAATGAATCAAGTTCTTGGTTAGGTTTAGAACCTGTAGGTATCGTAGCCCTTGGAAAGCACCTGATGCCAAACTTGTTATCGAATTATTAGACAGCTCTAAAATTTTGAGCCAAGGTGCTCCAGTGAATGCACTTTGATTGATTCTCCAAATGTGGTTATTCTGCAACAGTAAGATTTGAGTTTCAGAAGGTAAATGGGAGGGAATGTCAACAAGTCCTCGATTCTTGCAGTCTACTGTCTTCGAAGGTGGATGGCATAGGCACTTTTCAGGACATCCATGAACCTCATATATTAATATGATAACATTCAAAATCAAAAGCAAGTAGCCTGTATAACAAATACAAAAAAGCTGTGAAATCATTTAGAATCTATATGTTTTGATAAAATAGACATTGGTTACCTAGGCAAAGGTATAGGTATCTTATTTGGATGTCAAATATAACATAATTATCATGATGGTTGTATATTTACTTCAGAGTTCCATATATTAGTATAATAAAAGTCAGTTGTAGATAAAACTAAAATCCTTATATGTAGACTAAAGGCAATTTTATAAATCTGTAAAATTCAAACAGCTGTATTTTGGGGCTTTATCTTGAATACAACCAACTTTTAGCATGTTTTGCCATCAGCTCCTTGACATAAAAATTGAATGATTTCCTAATTGTTGCATGCCCAAGAGAATGTAATGCCTTGATAGAGTTCCCAAGGCTATTAAATTGTAATGTTTTTCTTTCAGTGGCAGCAGTGATTCCAAACCGCCTTATCTTTAGAGTTGTGAGCACAGCCTCCATGTAGCCACTTTTTTGATTACATGTTACAGCATAAAGAATTAAGCTAGTGTTCTGTTAGAGGAAAAACAATTTTCAAAAGCTTCACTATATGGAACTTAACAGCAGTTTCCCGGGATTCAGATTATTGAGCGGTTGTCCTTTAAAGTATCCACCCATGTTTATAGTTATTACTTGAAATTCCCTTACCTGAATGCCAGCTGTAAACTTTCCAGATGTTTGAACCCCTACCAGACAAACATTTTTCAAGTAGAGTTGTTAAAATGATGAACGAGGTCACAAGATTACTCTAATATTTAATATTTAAATTATTATCTACTGCTGTTGCTCCTAACAATAATCAAGTTTGCTTTGACTGAAGTAATGTAATAACTTCTACCTGTCATATGTAGTTGCTTGTATTCCTTCAAAAAACAATGTGTTGCATAAAGCTATGTTACTTCAGAGTACTTTCATTATTTCAGTGAAATAATCAAGATGCATTGAGAGAGTTGGAATATGATTTTATATTAATTATTTTGGCTCAGTAGAATTGAAACAGGTAGACTGTTAGACCCTTTTCAACATTGTCTCAGTGGTGAATCAGTTCAATATTGATCATCTGTTATTTCAAAGTAGTAACTCTTTTAGTCAATCATTAGGGAAAAGCTTTGGAAATTAAAGGACACGTGTTTTGTCTTGCTGAGTTCAAGCATTAAATAGCAACAGGGAACTATAGCTTAAAGGAATAACAGAATGTGATTTAAGTATTGACCATACTAAATCTATCAAAGAAAATCTTGGATTTCTGTAACTACAGTTTAACATGCTAACCACCAAATTTGCACTATAAAAATGAAATTACAGTTGAAATAAAATTACAAATAAAATTACAAGTTTTTTGCTGCAGCTCTTGAATTCTGTGTTCATATAAGCAGAAATGCATTCTCTGGTTTTATGCTGTTCTGCAACAGTTATTTTTAGAAACAAAGAGAAACAAATACAGCTACCATTATAGAGTTAAATATAGGCAATGTTTGGCAAAGACAATATTTCTGTACAAAGTAGAAGCACATTCCTATAGGTCTAAACAGGAATTATATCTCACCTTTCATGCTTGTTTGCTCGTTCTCTTGTAGAAGGTTTAGTCCAAGTTTGTTAAGTGGAACAGTAACGTATATGTATTATAAAGTTGAAGTGGGAGTCAAGGGCATGTGCTAATCCAGCTTCTTTTGTGGCTTTATTTTAGAAAATAACTGTATCTTGCAGAGGAACTCAGCTGTTTGATCTATTGAATCACTCCATCAGCATTCAATATCACTGCAGTCAGTTTTATCGCACTCCTGTTTCCACTGTCCATCTATGACTCTCAGAGGTTTTCACTGCCTCTTGCTTGGTCAACGGGTCATGCAAAGAGTGGCTGTCAAATCAAACTGGACAGCTGTAACATACAAATCGTGACCTGATAGCATATCCCAGATTATTTAATCTGCTTCAAATCCAGTGCACAAAAATAAAGCACCCTTTTAAAATCCATTTTAGCTTCTCAATTCTGTTGGATTATTAGCTGTGCTGTGCCAACCCTTGCAAGATCAGATGACTCTAAATGTGAATTCTGGTTATCCTGGGCTGTGATTGGAGGCAATGGAATATATAATATCACTACAGATAGGCCTACATGTTGATGACATAGTTTTGACAGTGCACTTGTTTGTTCTTCTAGGATTTATTCTTCTGGCATCTATAAGGATTAACTGTGCTGACAGGATTTTGTTGCATGGGAACAGAGAGCTGGTGCTTCCCAGAGTGGGAATGGTAAACATATTTGTGTGGACACTACAAATATTAGGTGGACTTTTTTCAGACTCATTGACATGTTAAATGACAGTTGATTGAAAACTCATGTTTCATGGTTATATATTGACTTGTCACCACTACCTTCTTCTGCAACAAAAATACAGCATAGCATTTACAAAAGGAATAGGGCTAATAACGTATGGCTGTTAAATGATTTAAACTGCAATGAAGCATTCAAATGAATATGAAACCTGGGATAGTGAGGACCTTCAAGGTCAAAAGCCTGGTGCTCCTTATCAGTTAATTTTGTCATGAGGAAAGATTTGGAAATGACACCACCAAAAATGGCAGCACTCTACAAATGCTAAACATATAGTAGCATTCCTAGGGGCAAATCGTGTTACATACCAGGGTCACAATTTGCTTAGAATCTGAGTTTCATTCGGGATAGTATGATATGATGCAGAATGAGTCTCAGATTCATTTTTGGTGGATAATTCTAAATTTGAGCTTTAAAAAATAAAGAACCAAATCTTTCTTCACATTATTTATTGAACATTTATTACCATAACTTGAAAGTTCTGTGTTCTCTGGTTGGTGCTTTATAGATGTGTAGAATGCATGAATACACAAATCATCTCCCATAGGAAACAATGCAATTCAGTCTCCTCCTCCTCTTAACCAGCCTCCAATTAATAAGGTTAAACTCAGTATAGAGCAATCAAAATTTATGAGTCACACTACCCAAAAAATAATGAGTTTGCTTCCAGACAATCTGAGATTTCTCTTTTTTTTATAAAGAGTTTCTGTGGTGTTTTAGGTCTGTTGATTCATTTCTGTGGGCATTTGACAATTTGAATTGCTCTGCTCTGCCAGATACGTTGAGAGGTGATAGTGACCCTTGGGTTCTACAAGAGTTCTCACTTCTCAGAAATGGACTTTTTCCTTGAACAGCAGCTAATTCTCCTGCTAATCTCCAAATCCATTCTGTTTCCCCAGCTCCTGTCTCAGTTGTGTCCCTTACAACAAATTTGCATCAATCCCAGTTTGCATGGGTCTTCCCTGGGCCGCCCATCAGTTTTGCTTATCCTATAGGCCCTACATCTCTCCATCAGCTCCCAGAACGTCCATCTGTTCTGGCCTCCATTTCCCATGTAGCTCCATGACCTAGTCAGTTTTGTCCCTTCTCTGGTTTCTCACTCTCCTCTTCTAGGCTGGGGTGGCAGCTGCAGCAAGATCCTCCTCTTTTTCTCCCCATTTGTAGGCCAGGTGTTTCCAGGACAGAGAGTTTCAAAGGGGCAGGGCAGGAAGAGAGGAGCTGTTTCTGATTTTTCATGGGAAGGGTGAAGGGAACAGACTTGACAGGCTATTTTTGCTTCTCCTCCTTTGAGAACAGTGTTGGATTGCTGAGGAAAGGGGGAAGAGCTCTGCCTACATCCTGAAAAGCTCTGATTTATGGTTTCTACCTCAGGAACCAAGCAAGCAGAAGAGGATGCTGAACAGGAACTTTCCATAAAGCAAGGCTAGAATTCAGGAAAGGGCTAGATCTTCTTATATCATTGTGAGTCTTGCACCTGTCCTAGCCAAAATTACCTTCACTTGTGAGGATTTTTTGGCATCGGCAAGAACTGTATTCAAGGTAGAATTAGAGTTGAGAGACTCAACATGTCCCATAAGAATATACATGCTCAGACAAGTAGCTTGTAGCTTGAAGTTGGCAAAGTTGAACTCAGCCCAATTTCCATCAGCAGTTTTCTGCAGTCATAGGCAGCAATATGTCTATGTCTATGTCTAAGTCTATTTCTACCCTAGCCCTTTGTAGGGTGTATATCTGGCTCTTTCACTTGAAATGCACTGAATAAATGCTGTACTTCAACTGAGAGAAAACAAGAATGAGCTTTGACAAATCAAACATGGATTTGACAAAACCATAAATAAGCAAAACTTTCAACAAAAATGACAGGACCTTGCAGATATAAACTGGAAATATTGCTTGGTATCTTGCTGCTATTGAGGCGTCCAGGAGGGACTAATTCAAAAGTTCATATGTATATGAAGGTGGATGTGTTCCAAGTAGGCGTTGCCTCTGTGTGTGTATGGGTAGAGAGGAACTTTGATAATTCACATTTATTATATTTGCTTGAATACAAGATGAGGTTGTTCCCCCCCAAAACAGTGCAAAGAAAAAGCCCCTCATCTCACATTCTCATACATGGAAATACATGGTGTATCATAAAAAGCTGCCAAAAACACCATGTGCTCAGTTGTGGAAAACAACTATGAAGTTGATTAAAAGCAGCCAATATGGAACATGACTATAAAGCATATGGCCATATTGGACAAACATACAGATTTATTTTTTGCAAAAATATTTATTTCTATATATATAACTACATATATAACTGTGTATGTATATATATATATATATGTGTGTGTGTGTGTGTGTGTGTGTGTGTACCTCTAACAACCTGTCAAGTGACCACTGTGGTTCACATGACAGACCAAATTACACTTTGACAGCTAAACTATTTTAGTCCTATTACAAAGTTCACATCACACACCTGCACAGCCATGCACCCATCACCATTCCAGTGCTTTCACTCATTGTCACTGTATTTGTCATCGTCATTGTCATCTCTGTCCTCACCGCTGTCTTCCTTGTTGTTCTCTTTGGAGGATTTGCCTCTGAAAAGTCTATGCCAGTCCCCTCTTCCATATAAGGTCCGCCATCTCTTTCCTGTCATCCTCTTCTGTCTTCCTATAGTAACATTACATTTCACTCAGCCCCATTTTAAAACAGTTCTCAACTGTGGGATCTGAGTGCCTGTTTTTGAGTAGGTTTCTGGCCTTCCACAGGGCACACCTGAAGCTGGAGATGAATTGGTTGAAGCAAGCTATCAGGGCCCCTTGCTTTTTGGTCAAGTGCCCATCAAGGACCATGTTTCTGGTCCAGGTTCTGAAACCTGCAACCACCAGAAGGAATGTGTGTACTTTCTTCCCTACCCCTCTGGTGTATGGGCAGTCCCTGAAGAGTTGGTCAATTGTTTCTGCCTGCCACTGGCAGGTCTGCCTTGGGCAGTTCAAAGGACCTCTCTGCCTTGCACTGTTTTTCCAGGCCTGTACAGGGAGTGCCCAGTGGGCTGCCTACCAGTTCAGGTCTCTCTGCTCCTTCTGAAGATCCTTGTGGAAGATTCGCTCCCACATGGCCTGGCAGCTGTCACCAGGTAGTCCATGGGCGATATGATGTCTCTTACCCTTACCACCTCCCATATCTTGTGGTGGTTCACCAGGGTTGCTAGGGTCATGCCGTTCAGCTTGTATTTTTCCCAGAAGCATTTCAGGACCTTCTGGAACCATGGAGACATCATTGCCCATGGGCTGCCATTGGTTGTCATTGCCACTATTGCAGCAGCTGCCCTGCAAATACTTAAGAAAGCAGGCTGTTTTGGATTCCACCCCTGTTGCCAGTTTGCAAACCTGGCTCATGTACTTGGCCCAGAGAAATAGAAGGATGTCTGACATTCCTCTGTCTCCAGACCATTTAACTTTGTGTACAGCTTGGTCCTTGCCACTTTCTCCCATGTATAGTTCCAAAGGAGAACACACATGGAACCTACCATAAGAACAGATTAGTGCAGCCTATCTGAACAAGGTATATGCTCCTCCAAGCCCAAAGGGAGGTAATCCCAAAATGGATCAAAGGGGGCAAGAGGGCACAAAAGCCCCCATGGCTCACCAAAAGCATCCGGGAACGTTTCTACCTAAAAAGGAGGTGTACACCCAATGGAAGGGAGGGGCCATCACCAGGAAGGACTATACCTCTGTTGCTTAAGGCTGAAGGGGGGTGGTCAGGAAAGCCAAGGTGGAGATGGAACTGGGAATAGATACCCAGATCAAGGACAACAAGAAGTCCTTTTTTAAATATATAGGGGGTAAAAAGAAGGTACCGGGTAATGGGGGGGCCTCTGCAGGACACACTAGGAAATCTGGTTGTCGTACCAGACAGCAAAGCTAACCTATTGAAAAATTTCTTTGCCTTCATTTTTCTGAGCAGGGAACGGGTCCCCCCCCCCCCCCACACTGTGACCCCTGTAGGCCCCAGGGGAGGCGCACCCAGGCCTAGGGTCAAAGAGGACCTAGTCAGGGAACTTCTGGAGGAACTGGACATATTTAAATCAGCAGGTCATGACTATCTCCACCCCAGAGTGCTGAGGGAATTAGCAGAGGTCATTGTGGGACCCCTGGCATGGCTTTACGAGTGCTCATGGTGCTCTGGCATGGTGCCAGAAGACTGGAAAAGGGCCAATGTGGTTCTCATTTTCAAAAAAGGGAGGAAGGAGGAACCAGGAAACTATAGGCCAGTTAGTCTTACCTCTGTCCTGGGCAAGCTTTTTGAGAAAATTATCCTGGCGCATGTCCGCGAGGGGCCAGCAGGGGAATTTACGCTTAGGAGCAACCAAGATGGGTTCATTAGAGGCAGGTCCTGTCAGACCAACCTGGTGGCCTTCTATGACCAGGTCACAAAATCCTTAGATGCAGGGGTAGCAGTGGACGTAGACTTTCTGGACTTGAGAAAGGCCTTTGACACTGTCTCTCACCCCGTTCTCATTAAAGAACTAGGAGACTGTGGCGTGCACACCTC